GAGTGAAGCTTCATCCTGATTGGTCGGTTCCTGCAGAGAAACAGGAAGTGTCTTCTTCTTGAGTTTTTTAACGTTCTGTCGGGGTTTGTTTTGGACTACAGGCTGTAGTGACAGTCCTAGTCCTAGTCCTGGTTCTGGTTCTGGTTCCTCAGCAGCATGTTGGAGACCACTCATGGAACGACCCGTGTTTTCCACCAAGTCCAGGTCCTGGATCAGTTCTGGTCCATCTAGACTGGTCCATGGTTCCTCTCTCACAGTAAATCCTGGCTCTTTTGTAGCCAAAGTTTGATCCAAAGAAACTTCGGCTGTTTTTGTGGCCCTCCCCTCTCGCCTGGAGGCTGGTCTTGTTCTGTTTTCAGCTGTTTTTTGTGGTTCCTGTTTGACGAGTGAAGCTTCATCCTGATTGGTTGTTTCCTGCAGAGAAACAGGAAGTGTCTTCTTCTTGAGTTTTTTAACGTTCTTTCGAGGTTTGTGTTGGACTACAGGCTGTAGTGACAGTCCTAGTCCTAGTCCTAGTCCTGGTTCCTCAGCAGCTGGTTGTAGACCACTCATGGAACGACCCGTGTTTTCCACCAAGTCCAGGTCCTGGATCAGTTCTGGTCCATCTAGACTGGTCCATGGTTCCTCTCTCACAGTAAATCCTGGCTCTGTTGTAGCCGAATTTTGATCTGAAGAAACTTCGGCTGTTTTTGTGGCCCTCCTCCCTCGTCTGGAGGCTGGTCTGGTTCTGTTTTCAGCTGTTTTTTGTGGTTCCTGTTTGACGAGTGAAGCTTCATCCTGATTGGTCGGTTCCTCCAGAGAAACAGGAAGTGTCTTCTTAAGTTTTTTGACGTTCTGTCGGGGTTTGTCTTGGACTACAGGCTGTGAGGACAGTYCTGGTCCTGGTTCTGGTCCTGGTTTCTCAGCAGCGGGTTGGAGACCACTCATGGAGTGATCCATGCTTCCCACCAGGGCCTGGTTCTGGTTCAGTTCTGGTCCATCTAGACTGGTCCATGGTTCCTCTTTCACAGTAAAATCTTGTTCTGTTGTAGCCAAAGTTTGATCTGAAGAAACTTCGGCTGTTTGTGTGGTCCACCGTCCTCGTCTGGAGGCTGGTTTGAGGACTTTTGATTCTTCTTGGACAGAAACCGACCCGGTTGGGTTTAGACCCGGGTCTTCAGCGGATGCAGTGGATAAATCTGTGGATGACTTCCTGTTTCCTGTTTGTTGGCGTCCCCCCGGCTCGCCGCCGCCCCACCCCTTGGCGATGACCAGCAGTTTGGCCATTCTTACCAGCGTTTTCTTCTTGAAGTGTCGGCCCGGTTTGTGTTTCCGCTGCTGCAGCAGCTGGTGGAGCACCGAGCCGAAGCTTTGCACCGAGCCGAAGCTTTGCTCCGAGCCGAAGCTTTGCACCGAGCCGAAGCTTTGCACCGAGCCGAAGCTTTGCACCGAGCCGAAGCTTTGCTCCGAGCCGAAGCTTTGCACCGAGCCGAAGCTTTGCTCCGAGCCGCTCAGCCCGGACTCGTGTCTCTTGGTTTCGGACCGTGAGTCCACTTCCTGTTTGCAGAAAGACTCGCCGCCGTTCGTCCTCGGCGCCTCGGCCTGAAAACCAAACCAGATCATGTTACCTGTGAGCCAAGATGGCCGCCAACATGAGCTAAAATCAGTCCGTGTTGCTAACAAGCTGAATTTCAGCTGGATGTAGCTAAAGTTTTTTTTTTTTGGACTTTAATCAGAACTTTGTTGTTGGGTCGGCTCACCTCTTCATCTGGGACCACCTGAGCAGAACCTGGAGGGTTCTGTTGGACCTCGCTGGACTTTGATCCGGCGCCGCTGCAGGACCTCTCCTCCATGTTTGCAGGTCCGGTTTCCTCCTGCAGGAACAGAACCGTGATGAACGACCCGTCTGCAGCCGAACAGAACCAACTGCTCTGGCAGACAGGAACCAGAACTGGAACCTTTGTACTGGATCAGAACCTGTTGGACCACTTGAATGGGTTTGGACCTCTAAGACCAGAACAGAGCTGCAGGTTCTGACCCGGCTGTCTGGTTCTGGTTCTGGTTCTGCTTTAATGGTCATAATGTTTTGGTTTGGTTCTGTGTAAATAAATAAATAAAACCCTCCTGATGTTCTGATGGGATCAGAACCGGATCGCGGTGCTGCTGCAGGAACCGGAACCAGAACCGAACCGAGAAAACCCGCCTGCTCTCACCTCAGATGGATCCTTGTTCTCCTTTCAGGTTCGGAACACGAACAGAACCTCCGCGCGGGTCCGGTTCGGTCCACAGCCCGAGGTTCGGCCAGGTTTCCTGCAGAAGGAGGGGGAGGAGCCTGGGCGGGTTGCCAGATCTGGCGGGAGAAAAACCCGTAAACACATTCTGTAAATAAAAACAAACATTTGTTTACATGTTGTTGTTTCAGGTAAACAAACTAACGATTTAAAAAGCAACAGAAGAGACTCCGCCCCCTTTTCAGTCACGTGACTTCTAATGTAAACAAACTGGATAAACAACAAACACGAGATGAATTTAATGGAATAAATTAACC